TTGAACAAAACTCTCAACATTATTTCCAATTCCACGAGCTGCTTTAGTTGTCATGTACCCTAAAGGCAAATTGTAAACTGAACGCTAAAGTCTGCCCGATCCAAGGACACTTCAAGAAGCCTATCAGTACGCCCTAAGAGCCTTATCACCATTAGTTTCTGATCAAAAGATCAAGGACCTTCCTCGATAACTCGACTAACATTTCTTTCATGATAAAATTGGAGATGAAATTTAGAGGCACCGACCTCTTCAATAAAAACACCCTGAATTTTTCTCCACACCATGGCCACAGTTTCGCGAAAAAATTGGACGGATAGGTTTGTCAGATACCACTCTTGCCATAGCCAAAAAACAAACTCCCCCATCTACCTCACTATTACCCCCTTCCGGGTTACCCCTTACGGGTCAGCTACCAGTCCAAACCTCCCAATAGTGATTTTATTGTAAGACTCAACAAGCATATTCATATGGAGACCCAAACAAAAATACTCAGAAATTATAAAGGAATGCTGATTAGAAAAAAAAAGGAAGCCGAGACGTTAAATCATATTCATATGGATATTTTATATTTCACATTTTCATTAATTAAAATTATTGTTAAAAGTTGTTAAAAAAAAGTAAAAAAGAAAGCAACATGAAAGTGAAGAAACACTCAAAGAACAGAGACATTAAGAGCATGTTAGGTAACACGAAAATCGGCTGATTTAGCTGATTCTGCTGACATTTATGAAGTTCTGGCTGAAGTGGTTGCATTGGCTGATTCTGTTGATTTAAGAATAAGTTATTTTTAAAATATATTTTATTAATAAAGTAAAGAAAAAATAATGTGTAAAAATAGCTAGAATGATCATCTACACTAACTTCAGCCAATACAGCCAGAAAAGTAACTTCAACTTTACTTTTTTTGCTTATTACATAATTCAGCGCGCGAAAGCAAAATTTACGTGTTTGGTGAAAAAGTTGGCTGATAAGCCTGATAAGCTGAAAAATAGTGTTGCCAAACGACCTCTAAGTGTGTACAACATGAAACAAGCTTGCTGCGTAAGAAGGTAAACAAAAAAAGGACTGCATGAGTAGGGGGTAAGTGCATACTCCAGGAATGAGAAGAGCTTTATTAATAAGCTCAAAGTTTTAATATGTTACAAAAATACCGGGTGTAGGATATAATTTGCAATGCAACAATGTGCGTAATGCATGCGTGACATGAGAGATGACAAAAAAAAATATTGATGAAATTTATCTTTTTTGTGGCAGTCTTCCATATCTTAGTTTGTTTTTAGCAAGAAAGTCAAACACAATGTCTACATCTAGATGTTTTCCTTGTCATTATAGAGAAATAGTTACTAAAAATTAATAAGACCATACAAGTAAGAGCATCTTCAATGGTAAAATGTGAACGGTGCACACGTGGCATGAGAAATAGCCACATAAATATTAGTAAATAAATTCTTTCTCTCCTTATTTGAATGATTTTATACAGTTTTGGTAAGTTTTTCTCCACACTGTCAAGGAGACCGTCTAGATGTTGACATTGTTGTTGACATTGCAGGGAAAAACTTACCAAAATTGTATAAAATCATTCAAATAAGGAGAGAAATAATTTATTTGCTAATATTTATGTGGCTATCATTCATGCCACATATGCAACGTGGACATTATAGCATTGGAGATGCTCTAAGAAAAGAGATATTATATTACTTAATTTTTATGTATATCTCGTATGCACGTATGCAATGTGCACATTGTTGCATTGAGGCTGCTCTAAGAGCATCTCCAATGCTACAATGTGCATGGCGCACATGTGGTATGACAGGTAGCCGCATAAATACTATGTAGTAGTAAATAAATTATTTATCTCCATATTTGAATAATTTTATAAAATTTTGGAAAATTTTTGTTAGGTCCCCTAGATTTTGTTGATTAATATGTATTGGTTTGATGATGTCACCCCTTTTTACTATGAGTCAATTCCTTAAATAGGACTAAAAAGTGGCAAAATTGCACAAATAGGACTACATTTTTTAAATTCCCTTAATAGGACTATTTATGTGTGTTTGGCCAAATATACCGTTGTAACTTGTGAAATGTTTTAATTAATAATAAAATCATACAAAAATAATAAAAATCGAAAAAAATACTAAAAATCGTAAAAAGATAATAGAAAATTAATAAAAATATTTTTTAAAAAAATTAAAAAAAAAATAATTTTTTTAAAAAAAAATAAATAAAAAAAAATCTAAAATTAAAAAAAAAAACATTACCACCCCTGCCACCCCCAGCACCACCAGCTCCCATCACCGGAGAAAAATATGCCAACATTTTAAATAATGCCATAATGATGGCATATTCAATGAAAATGTTGGCATATTGAAGAGTAATTATGCCATCTTTTTGGCATTTTCAGAGAAAGATGGCATTTTTTTACCAAAAGTGGAAGAAATTTCACCAATCGGAGGTGGTGGTGCTGGGAGGCGGTGGATGGCAGTGGGAAATGTATCCATAATATTTTTCATTTTTTTATGGGTTTTTACTAATTTTTATTATTTTTTAAAAAAAATTAAAAAAATAAAAAATTATTTTTTTTATTTTATAAATGTTTTATAAATTTTTTATAATTTTTTTACGTTTTTTAAATATTTTTTACGTTTTTTTATGATTTTATTATGAATTAAAGCATTTCATTATGAATTAATACTCTTAGGGGTATTTAGGGTAGAAAATCTATGTTAAGTCCTATTTAGGGAATTTAAAAAGTAGTAGTCCTATTTGTGCCTTTTAGGAACTCATTAGTCCTATTTAGGACAATTTCCGTTTTACTATCCCTGTATTACACTAGATTCTCTTGTACTTGTTCCATTTTGTTTATTGTAATGTGCTCCTATATTAGTGATAAAGTACTCAAGAAAAGCAAAAAGTATTAAAAAGAGAATAAACGTACCAATAAATAGGGTTGTAAACGAATCGAATAATGAGATTTTGTATTTATATTTGTTTAATTTTTTCGAATACGAATTCGAATTCAAATATGAAACGAATATTAATTTCGATTTGTATTTGTATTTGTTTAACAATACGAATAGTTAACGAATCATATACGAATATCGAATCGATTTGAGCATAGGTTAAATATCGAATATCATTTTAAAATAACTTTCTTATACTCCGTATTGTTTATGTTGTAAATGCGTTATGACTTAATATGTGTTTTTAGAATTTAAATTGAATGGATCAATGCATTTTTAGATGGTGCACAATACGGAGTATACTAAAGTGAATTAATTTTATGATTAATAACTATAAACTATTTCAAACTTTTTAAAATAAACACTAACACACGCATATTAGAAATTATACTTATAATGTGTGAAATAAGTTGATAATTGTATATATCAAAGTCAAACAACTCTAATCTTATTCTTCAAATCGAATACATAATTATTTGTATTGTATTTAAAAGACTTTTGAACCAAAAAAATTGATTTGTATTCGTATTTATATTCTGTTTTATTACAAATGGGCTTGGAATCTGTATACAAAAATGTATATATGGGCTACACTCTGAGGGTATTTTTATCTTTTAATAGTTATTACAGTGTTATTACTATTATTAGTATTAATATTGACAATAATATTACTATTATTATTTATCGAATATATTTGATTATGATTAATATTCGAATCGAATACACTGATATTCTTATTTGTATTTATTAACAACTTGAATCAAATTTAATATTCTTATTTGTATTTGTATTTTCCGAATTCGAATCGTCATATATGAATTCGAATCACGAATCGAGCATACATTATTTGATTCATTTACAACCCTACCAATAAACAAAAAGAAAAGAATAAAAAAGAAAAAGTACGAAAAAGAGTTAACTAGTATTCATTGAAAAATGGAAACCAACTGAAACACCGGAATTCGGCAGCCTGCTGAAAAATTGATATCCGAAATCAAACTCAGTCTTCTCTTAGCACAAAAACAATTAAACAAATGATCAACTTGCAGTCAAAGGGTGTGTTTGGTAATCGGCGTTTCCGCCAGAAATTAGAGGGTTTGACCACTTTGGCGGTTTCAAAGGTCGAAAACGCCGTTTGTTGTGTGTTTGGTAAATGGAGGTTTGGCATGGCATTTTGGATGTATCCGCCAAATACCAATACGCTGCAACTAGTAGCGTTTATACTTGGCGGTTTCAGATAATTATTTAATTGTCAAATTTGTCCTCAGATCTTCTTTTCCGTTTAATTTCCGATGTAGGTGTTTAAGGCCTTCCCTCTTACTTCTTCTCTGGGTCGCCGGAAGTCCAGAGCTTTTTGAGTGTTCTAAAAATCATGCTATGGTTCTGGACTTGCATTTGATTGAGTTTTACACAACGAATCGGTTTAACTGCTTTGCGTGAGAAATTACATGCTATTAAAGTCAGTTAAGAATAAAAATAAGGCCTAAAGGATAAGAATTCACTGGAAATTAATACTACTCCGTAGTTTTCTTTTGGACCCAAAATGTGCTATTCATCAATTAGATATATATTTTTGTATTATTGTGTTTTTTATTTAGTCATATTTTAATCAATAATATAATAATAGTTCGAACTTATCAATTACGCATCATTATTAAAAAATGGGTATTAAAATTTATTAATGCATGTCTTCATATGTCTTTTTACCTAGTAACCGCTAGGTCCAAACAGCTGATCTGCCAAACGTTATTCTGGATTCCGCCAAATGAATCCGCTAGTCAAATCCGCTAACAGAATCCGTTGTTAACAACCCGCTAACATAATCCGTTAACCGCTGACCGCTGACCGCCGATTGTCAAACACACCCAAAATAACAAATTGATAGAAAATAAATTTATAAGAGATTTTTATCTTATTATAAATTTCTTATGAATTTATAAGAAACTCGGTACTTGTTATTTGTAAGTTTTAGCAAGTGTTTCTTACATAGTCAAAACAGAAAATAATACGGAGTACTTTGTATTTGGAAAGAAACTAATAAAATCAAGTATTTTTAGACGTGGCTCAGCGTCATACGAGTACGTAGTAAGAAGTATATACCTACTAACTTATTTGGTGTTTCTGGCTCTCCTGCTGTTTCCTCTCCCTCATCTCTCCCGCAGAAAGGAAAGCCGGGCCCCTACGATCAATCGATCCGCTTCTCGGATCCCGACCAGTGATCAAAACATACCAAATATGAATGATGCCGATGTATCCAAGCAGATCCAGCAGATGGTCCGATTCATCCGCCAGGAAGCGGAGGAAAAGGCCAATGAGATTTCTGTCTCAGCCGAAGAAGTGAGTATGCATTGAACTAGAATGTTGATTTCAATTTCATCTAAATATCTCTGTTATCTCTGTTGCGTTGGAGATCTTAAAGTAATTAATTGAAACAAGAATCATAGATTTATTAATTTTGTACCACTGTTAGGAATTCAACATTGAGAAGCTGCAACTAGTGGAAGCTGAGAAGAAGAAGATCAGACAAGAGTTTGAACGCAAAGAGAAGCAAGTTGATGTCCGGAAAAAAATGTAATGTGCAAAGTTACTGTTTTTACTGGTTCAGCTTGTGATCTTATCTTATTTTTTCCAAGTCTTAATGTGCTTTTGTTGAATCTGTACACAAGATCGAAATAGGCCTTCATAATATATGCAGTCAGTCTCTGTCCGGTTTAGCTTTGCAATCTTCATCCCATGACATCTAACTTCTAGGTTCCGTTTATAGTTAACATTTCTTTGTCGCCACTCCAATAGGAGTTGGTGTACTTAAAAGTTCAAAAACATGACTTGCAGGCTGCCAGGCTGCAGTATGAAACCCAGTGATCATAAATAGTTTGATTCTTTTTTAACCTTATTTGCAACAGAATCACATCTTTCTTTTCTCTTTAGTATTTTCATCTTTACTACAGTTTGAAGCCTGGGATCTCAGAAGCTTAAACTTGCCTGAACATCTACTATCAATGTCAACCAAGTTTGTGGTTAAACTTTACAAATGATAAATAAAAAAACTCTGCATATCCATTTTGCATTCCCATCTAAATTTTAAGGATTGCTACACAATGTTGTGGCACACCTGCCACCTAAAACTCCACAGAATAGGTTGTTCTGTGTTCATTAATCCACCTTTGCCAGGGTTAACCAAAAGCTAATTCTTATACTTATAGTTGTTGAGCTTCTCCAATAACCTAACCTTTTTTTTACTTTATGTCGAACTCCGTCCCTAAAATTTGGTTATGTTGCTCAATTGGTTTGGAATATAGAGATTTTTTTTTGGAGAACACATTGGAAAAAGGAAGGAAAACATGTTCCGTTGAGAATTTGGTTCTTCCACTCTCTTTTTGAGCTTCCATTATGAGTCTATCATATGTAGTGAATTCAAAATTCTTTCTGCTATACAAATTTAAAGCGGCATGGCTGCTCATCACCTATATTTTAAACAAAGATGGGTGGGAACAAAATTAGATCCAGACTTTGAATGGAAATATGTTGTTGCACTTCATTGGAGGAATTTCTAATGAAATTATGTTGAGTTGATTTGGAAGACTGTTCTTGTCTGTTCAACAACTGGGTATAGTCTATTTGGAAAAAATAGTTTAATGTTATCCTATGTCTTCTTGCAGTGAGTACTCCATGCAGCTCAATGCTTCTCGTATTAAGGTTCTTCAAGCTCAAGATGACTTGGTTAACTCTATGAAAGATGCTGCATCAAAGGAGCTTTTGCGTGTCAGCCATGACCATCATAACTACAAGAAACTTCTGCAAGATCTTATTGTTCAGGTAGTGAAGCTCAGCCATTCCTAACTTGACTCTGGTGTTTTTGTGTGTGTAAATTATAGAGGGCGTTATGGGTTGTCCGAAGGTTGTGAGTTGTGACATGTAGAGCTTGTGTTATCAGTGGTGTCTATAGCATTGTATGTCTCTGTGTGTGTATACATGCATGTGTGTGTGTGTGCTCGTGTATTTTGTATGGAAGATTGGAAGAGATTTGAACAGGTAACACCTTATAATCACATATGTAATGTACTGTCTTGTATATCCTAAGATCATATTGAAAACCTGGATGATGAAATAACTGTTCCTCCTTCCTTTTTCATCCATGACACGTGCATTTCCTACAACTGCATGGTTATACTTGATGGGAACATGATGTCCAGCTTGTGCTTGTTTATGAAGGCTAACTTGTCTTATTTTCATCTCAACACAAAAGTTTTTAATAGGATCATTGCAGATCATGTAGTTGTAGTTTCACAAAATGAGTATGTCTCTATGTTTAAAGGGCATCAGTGACTAATGATTGCAGATCTTATAGTAATAGTCCTTCCATTCTAACTCCAAAGCACGATATGTTTCAGAGTTTGCATAAACTCAAAGAGCCTTCAGTCTTGTTGCGTTGCCGAGAAAGTGATGTTCACCTGGTAGCTGATGTCGTGCACTCAGCCAAAGAGGAATATGCAGCAAAGGCTGGGGTTCACCAGCCTGAGATCATAATTGATCAAATCCACCTTCCTCCTGCTCCCTCCCATCATGATGCACATGGTCCTTCCTGGTATGATGTTCAATTGATTCTGTTATTTCATGAAGAACCATAAAAATGACATTTTATTGTAACGTCATTTGACAACTTTGCATTACCTACAGCGCTGGTGGAGTGGTTTTGGCTTCCAGAGATGGCAAAATAGTATGTGAAAACACTCTTGATGCAAGATTGGAGGTTTTGTTTCGTAAAAAGCTCCCTGAGGTACTCTCTGCTACATGCAACCCCCCACCTGCAACCTTCGTTAAAAAGAATAATATCAGCTAAGAAGAACTCTAATAAAATGAAGGAAATTTTCACCCCAATAATCCTCACTTTTACGCATTTAACACAAATAATTCCCACTCAAAAAGTTAACATCACAAAAAATGAACCGCAAACTAACAATGTTAACTTTTCCGTTAGTTCTGTTTGCATGTTCTCCATGAAGGCATGGATAAAAAAAATGTATAAAAGTATTAACAATAATATATTTGATATTAGACTTAATTCCATTTTGAATGTAATTTAATACAACACCAACATCCAAGATTTAGTCCCAAAAGATTTTGGGTTCAGTATGAATGTAATATAATACTCTATTAAATATTTTTCATACAATATAGTACATATACACGAAGCCTTTATAACTTTGATTTCATATATCGATTCATGTTAGCGGACCCTAAACTCTTTTGGGACTAAGGCTCCAATGTTGTTGTTGTATAGTACATATACACGAACAAATAGTCATAAAAAAAATTTCTCTTTTATTCATTATCAATATTTAAACATATTCAATCTTTTTTCTTCATTATAATAGAAATTTCCAAGTATTTTTAGTCATATTACATTAAATATTAATACACTTTCATTTTTGGCATTAAAAGATTAAGAAAAATCGTATACCTGATTGTATCGCTTGATAGCCAGCTTTACCACTTGAGTGATAAGTGAAAAGTGGCTAATACAGATACAATTAACATGAGTACAAGAAGGCGGGCGTCGATAGCTGGAGAAGTAATTAGCTATTAAAATTTCGAGAGTTATCGCCTGGAGGCTGACGGAGGCAGTCTCCCCTTGTAGGGATACCAAGAAGTGGGCAACAAGGGTGAAGAAAGCGAAAGGCCATACGGGAGAATCTTGGGGGTTGTTGAGGGGATATTTTTTAATTAAGGGAGAACTACCAAATAAGTCCTCGAACTTACATAAAAAGTGCAAATCACCCCTTATATAGGAGGCTCTGTCCGGCCGTCACCATTTGGAGCGGTTCCCGGTGGAATTTTATGATGAATTTTTTTGAGCATCTTATTCATTAAGTCTAGTTTACTCATACCAAATTTCAGCTAAAAATTCAATCGGGAAGATAGTCAAATAAATTTTTGAAGATTACCGCGCAGTTAAACAACGCAGTATATTTCAGAAAATCATTTGACTGCCTTCTCGGTTGAATTGTTAGCTGAAATTTGGTATGGGTACGTAAACTAGAGTACTAGACTTAATGAAGAAGATGCTCAAAAAATTTCATCAAAAAATTCCACCGAGAACCGTCCCAAATGGTGACGGACGGACAAAGCCTCCTATATAAGGGGTGATTTGCACTTTTTATGTAAGTTCGAGGGCTTATTTGGTAGTTCTCCCTTTAATTAAGTGCAGGCTTTTGGGATCCCCTTGACTCCCCCCTTAACAATCTCCCGGAGGTCGGAGCAAAAGCAGAGCCTTTGCCTCGGGGGGGGGGGGGGAGGGTATACATTTTAGCTTGCTATGTATCATAATTTGGTATCTCTTACTATATATAATTTAAAATGGATGGTATACTAATTTTTTTAAAAAAATATTTTACATTTATCAATTTATGTAAGACATTTTCTAACCCTTTGTTTATTCAAAAAAATGGAAAGTTAACACCATTAAGTTGCGGTTTATTTTTGTAAACACAAGTAAGGAATATTGTTGTGAGCTTTTTGGGTATGGGTTATTTTTTTAAAATTGTGTAAAAGTAGGGACTTCGTCTCAATTCGGCCTAAAATAAAGTATAAATGGGCTATTTTAGTTTGCTGCATTTGCGTTTTGACCATTTCTCTAAAAGGTTGTCCATGATCAACTTGATTCAGTCTTTCCCTAATCTGCTTAATTAGGCGCTCAACCTCAAGAGGTACGGAGTACCATGTTAGTAGAAGACAGCCTAATTTTTTTTTGAGTAAAATGGTGTAGTTTTTTCAGACATAATTGCGCTTTGTATTTTTGGAATGCTACACGTTGTATAGACGCTTTCATTTATATAGTATCTGCTAGATGTAGTAGCATTGCTTTAACTAGATTACCCCCCCCCCCCCCCCATCACTACTGCAGATCCGCAAGCTGCTTGTTGGTCAGGTTGCAGCCCAATAAATGTAAGGTCCTGCCTTCCGTGTGTTATGCAGCCAATGGCGATTACCACATCACTTATCAGCTGCTATTGCCCACTTGTGTACTTGTATTTCCTCTTCTCCCCCCAGGCCTTTCTTGCATTAGAAAAGCTTTCCCTCTATGCAGTTTTTTTATTTAAATTATTTGATTGGTGCAGACCTTGATTGACTATCATGTTGGTCTGCGATCTTTCTTTTCTATAACACTATTAAATCAGAATAAGTGTATGTTTCGTGAAATGAGACAGAGAGACATAATAATACAACTTAATCATTATTTTTAATCTTCAATTAGTGTATCAAAGCTTCAGAGTTCAGCCTGGGCGTAGCAAAATATTCTAGTCTTTCTTTGGGATTATATTTCTGGTCTCTTCTCGTAGGTAATGCTAAATTATTTTAATTTTAAGGAAAATCAATATTCTGAAATTTTATACCATCATACGAAGTACCAACTTACCAAGTACGGGGTATAACAAACTGCTGTTAGAGTGTTAGGTGCGTGAGACTGCTGGACGTGGTTTCTTGTGAGTGTGGTTATAAGGCGAAGTCTGTGTGTTCAAGTGATAGAGATAATATACGAAGTATTTAAATTGATCTTACGCTCTTTTGGTTTTTATTACATGCGCCAAATTTTGGGTCGATCTTCCCAAAATTTTCTCCATTTTCACCCTTTTGGATGACTATTTCTCCCTGCACCTTCCTATGGGGTTGATGGAGCATACGGGCTTGTGAGCTCGTGAAATTTGCTGATCTGATCTGTCTGGTTTGGTCTGGTATAAATTGATCTGGTCTGGTAAATGTCTAGTGTCTGTATATTTTATAATTATGAAAGTGTGGTCTGATCTGATCTGGAACTGAAAACAGTCTAAAACAAAATATCTAAATACTCAAGGCATTTGAGCAAGCCCAACAAACAGATGATCATGTCCTGTGTTGGGCCCTCATCAGTGGAGGATAGGGATGGACCGGGCCCACTCCGGTTCCGGGTGGGCTTGGAAATTATTGGGTAAGGCCCAGGATCGGCCTGGGCATCTACCGGTTCCGGGCCGGGCCAGTTCTTATATTTTTTAGGTTTTCTTAGATTATTCCAACGGGGTCCAACCCCCCCCCCCCCCCAAACCCTGCCAAAACACCCAGCTGAGCCCACCTACCATAGGCCCAAACCCAAAAAAAATAAAAATAAATAAAAATAAAAATACCCGGACCGGGCCGGTCCCCAATTATCCAACCCCTGAACCACCCCCCATAAACCCCCCCGGGTCGGGCCTAGGCCTGGTACCGGAACCGGTTCACCGGGCTGGTCCGGTTCCCAGTCCGGTCGGACCGGCCCCGGGCCAAGCCTAGACTGGAGTCTGGAGGACACCTTTGTTGAACAGAATTAATTTCACATTGAGTACAAAAGATTAAAAAAATCCACCCCACGGTGACCTCTCATTCCTGAACCCTCCACTGGACTAGGGAACACGTCTCTTAACTCGTATCAAGCTCCTGATATGAACCGCACCACCTACACCCCTTGTACTTATGTGTACAATGCATTTAGTGCACTTTAAAATTTATTATCACTATGAATAGCCTCATTTTTGAAAAATCGTACATAGTGATTTATAAAGAAAAGGTTCAAACTCTACATTTAATTTTCTCTTCTCTTTTCCTATCGTGTATTCGTGTAAAACATATTGTCCTGCTGTCAAATTAAAACATACTCCGTAGTACTTTATGAGAGATACACTCTCTCTATGATGCACTGCATCATTGAAGTAGTGAACTAGAAATTTTACTACTTTTTTGTGAGCCTTGTTGTATTGTAAATAAAAGGGAGGGATGGACTAGGGAACACGTCTCTTAACTCGTATCAAGCTCCTGATATGAACCGCACCACATACACCCTTTGTACTTATGTGTACAATGCATGTAGTTTTGCTAAAGAAAGTACAAAACTACAGAAAATATATTCCTTGCCCTTAAAAATTATGTCAAGCTTTGACTGGCAGTTTATACAGGAGGAAAAAACGATATTAACGTTAATTTAGTTATTTTGAAATAAGAGGATAGTTTTTTTTTTGGCAAAGTTTAGTAAGAGTGTAAGATGGAGATGGTAGAAAAATATGGATCCATATAATGTATTTGTATCACAAGAACACAGCAGATATCACTCTGATTACTCCATCAGAGTAATGTAGTAAACATCTAGGGTCTTTCAAGCATCATCTAATTCCCTACCGCGAAAATCCTACAGGAGCATAAAATTCACAGCTTTGAGTACTTTCTTGGTACATAGGGCATTAGTATGCATACTGTATAATATATTTCATTTTAATAAAATCCAATATATTTCCCATCTTCACACTATTTTAATGAGCCTCAGAAAATTATGGAAAAAGATAATAAAAAAAAAACAATGCAAAACAAGGTCAGGAACTGCGAGCAGGCACCCACACCTAATCTTCCGGCCTTGGGAAAAAGGAAATATACTGAATTGAAGTCTGAAGGATGTACAGCAACTGAATTCATCTCAGAAAAAAGTGGACATATACCGCGCATGTTTTTTTTTTCAAAAAACAATTCTGCTTGAAATTACAGTAATAACAGCTATCATTCTTAAGTCTGTCTCTCACTCTCGCACCGACTGTCGGATGGTTAGCTCAGCCCGAAGATGGAGAACTCCATTAATGAAGAAAGGGCTATCATCAGCAACAAATGCACTCCACTGTACGCCAAACAGATTCCTATAGCCAACCGCCTTCCCGCCATTGAATTTGTAGTTCCCCTTGTACTTGCTCACATAATCCTCCATTGGCTTTGTCCTTGCTCCAAACTCATAGTCAACGACATATGACACTGACCCTTTATCTTGCATCCCCAAGAAAAGCCCAAAGCAGTGGAACGAACTGAGTTGATCCATGTTGCAATGGGCTGACAGAAAGAACCCCTGTCCACACAAATGGAAGGCTTGGGAATAAACTCTGCCAACAGGATAGAGTTTTAAGCATTCTTCCCGCTTTAAATCTAGGTAAACGATACACTGTGGGCGAGGCGAGGAAAACTCAAGGACTTTTACTGGCCTGTACTTGTATGACCTCTCCACAAAACGATGGATGGAGGTATTGGATTCTTCGGCATCTAAGGAACGGTGCCGGTATGATGGTTCTGCTTTGAAAAAGAGAGCCTCAATTACGACCTTAGTGGCAAGTTCAGAATCAAAGTCGTTGCAGCCTAAAACTTTCTTCAGCTTTCTGCATGACATGAATGGGAACCTAATGAGACGGCAAAGATGTGATCCTAATACTTCACGCCGGTCCTCCAACTTTGGGTAATGGATTCGTGCCCACTTCAACACAATGTCAAAAACAGCATCCTCTGATGCAACCTGGAGACCATCATTACACAGCACTGCCTCAATTCCAGCAAGAGGCAAGTTCAGTACATCCGTTTGGAACCTTGTAAAAGATTGAAAAAAATGAGAAGTCTATTTTGATTATATCAATTAACAGCTAAGTTTCTTTACACAATGTTGGATAAAGAGAAGGGCTTTGGTTGGTTTACAAGCCAACAGCATCTAATTAGATCCACTCCCATGATGATGATAAAAGTGTGGTAAAATTTCTTGATAATGAGAGTTGATGAGAAAAATATAGTTTAATTCCTAGATAATGAGAGTTCATGCCAAAAATAGAGCAAAACTCCATGAGAAAAGTATAGAAATTCATTGACAGAGAAACTGACTTTGTTATATCCTTGAAGCTAGTAGCAAGGAACTTCTTAGCAGCATTCGTCAAAGGCTGGACTGGTTCAGCCATTAAAAGAGTAGAAGGAAGGTCCAAATAGAGTAAGGCTGTTTCACAAGTCATGGGTAGATCTCGCAATAATCTGCTGCAGTATCTCATGCATGATGCAACCTCAAATTTGTCAGCAGCCATTAGCACATCAAGCAAGGCAGTTGGAGTTGTTGTTGATAACATATTGCCATACATAAACTTCAGCAGGTCCATAAAGGCAACCTCTTCTGCTCCATAACAGACACAGTGAGATTGAGCTCCTCTGTCTTATTTGAGGAGTTAATAAAAATAAATGATAGCAGGACGAATGATCCAGAACAGTTAAAAATGATGAACATGGGCCAATAAAATGTTATATGATATGATCCCACGATCATTCACAAGAAAGTGTTTGGTGACTTTACTCATATATTTTTTAAAATTATTTTTCAATTTAACAAATTTATCCTACTGAACTTGTATAAGCTACTTGGCAATGTACGTGAAAACTTAGCTTCTATTTATGACGTATGACATTTTCGGATAGTTTTTAGAAAAAAAAAAGGACTACTCTTTCAAGATGTGGGACGAGTCTATATTTTAAGCATAGTAGGTGAAATAAGCATAATAGTCCCTTTTACCATAAAATGGTAATTGTTTGCCTTTTTACTCACACGTTCTCTAACAAGTACTACCTATGTCCCAAATTGGTTGTCCTCTTTCAATTTGACACAATTATTAATAAAGTGGTTGAAAAGTAAAAGTTGTGGTTGAGATTTGAGTAGAATAAAGTGAAATGATATGGACTACATATTTCTTGCCAAAAAAGGAAACAAGACACTCATTTTGGGACAACTCAAAAAGAAAAGTAGGACAACCAAAATGGGACAGAGGGAGTATCATATATAGAAATTAGTGTTCCAAATACGAGTTGGTTTAGAAAACCAAGGAACAGCCTGGTTGTGTTGTGACTTGTACCCCCGAGGTCTGAATTTCGATTATATGTGGGAGTCATGGGAGTCGTATATATTTTTGGCATAGTATGTGAAATGAGCATATTTGTCCCTTTTTACCATAAAAATGGTAATTATTTGACTTTTTACTCACTATGTTCTCTAACAAATACTCCCTCCGTCCCAATAAAAACTTCCAACTTTGACTGGGTACGCATATTAAGTGGATTCAAGTGGAAATGTATGGTTGTAGTTGTGTAAGAAAAAGGTGAAATGAATGTGAGCCACACAAATTGTCCCAAAAAGGAAAGTTGGAAGAATTTTACGGGATGGACCAAAAAGGAATGTTGGAAAAATTTTATGGGACGGAGGGAGTAACATATAGAGAAATTCAAGTTCCAAATATGAGTTGGTTTAGAAACAAAGGAACAGCCTGGTTGGATTGTGACTTCGCTGACTTGTACCCCCAAGGTCTGAAGTTCAATTATAAAAGGAAAACCCGGTGCAAGAAGGCATCCCCGCAAGGCGAGGGTCCGGGGAAGGATCCCACCACAAGGGTGTATCAAGGTCAAGCCTTCCTCTGTCAAATTTTGACAAGAGGCCGCTTCCAAGACTTGAAATTTTGACCTCTCGGTCACAAAGAATCA